CCCTCCACCAAACCCACCATCAGCATTATTTTGTACCCCACGCCCTCCTATCCCGCCATTTACAAACGCCTTCCCACCTTCCCCACCAGTCTTACAACTGTCGCCTCCAAACCATTTAGAACTCCCTCCATCCGTCAGCAGCCTCCCCTCCCCCACCCATGCCGTTATCCTTCCATTCTGTCGCCCCCTGTCCGTTAGATCCTCCACTACAACCAGTTCCCCCACAAGCCTTGTTACCAGTAGTGGACACAGTCCCGTCACACAGGGGGTTATGGGTCTGTAGTCCCCACCCCGCCCCTCCCCCACCCCCAGCGATAATGAGTGGTGTGTTGTCTCCCCTGGTGACAAATGTACCACCCCCTCCTCCTACACTCCAGTTTCCTCTGTTCTCAGCACCTTCTTGTCCCACCAGAATCTTCAGAGTTTCACCTGCAGTGTTGGAAAAGGAACATCAGAGTTTTCATCTATTCTTTATTCTCTATCTATCTTTATTTTTATATCTATCTGTATATCTTGAAGCACACGATTTCTTCCAAAATTTCCAAACAAATCTTAGTGGAAGTTGTAATTTGATACCCAGTGTTCTACATTCAACTTGTCACCCAGGTGGTGAAAGGAAATTGTGTGTTTCACATAAACAGGCCAAGAAATATTAAAACGACCACATGTATAACAGCTGAAGTGTCGCACCTTGTTTGAGGTTGAATGTTCCCCTCAGTACGGCACCCCGTCCTCGGGCGGACGTCGGGTTGTGCTGACCCCATCCTGCAGCAGCACCTGTCAATCAAACACGTCAGGCACTTCAATTCAGTACACAAATCTAAAGAAACAGGGACTATTGAATCACTACAGCACGAAAGAGGAAACAATTTAAGCAAAAAGTTATGGGCTTCAAATTATTTTGGTAATATTAAACGCACCAAATACTTATTTCCATGTGCACGTGTGCTTAATGAAGTACACCAAACTTTACACCAGTTACATTTACTATAAGCTAAACGTCCCTACCCGCTGCCTCTATGCTGTACGTTCCCGTCCCCGGTACAGTGAAGTGTTGTATCCCGTCATGTAGCGTCACCAGGTGTTCATGGTCCTGTCCCCTGTAGTGGGTACCCAGGGTAGTGGGGCCCAGACGGCCGCTGGCGCCCAGGGTGGTCAACTTATAACATGGTAGGTGATCTGGCAAAAAGACCGTCGGTTTGTTTAATAAATATTGTACTTATGAATGATAGGATCTGAAAGGTCCCTAAACGTACGGTACATGTACTACGGTATGTAGATATTACCTGGTTGGTATAATCACTTTAAAGCAAAAAATGGTAGCGTCGAAATAATGCGCACCCACACGATTACAACAAGACTACACTCAACAAGTATCTATTTACATATATCCAAGTTTTTTTTTCTATACAGCTATTAATTCATGGCAGGAAATTTAGCAATAAAGAAATACTTTAGAACGTCGTAGGTTACAATATGAAGTAATGACCTTACCGACGATGTCACCAAGGATGATTTCCTTTTTTTTCCTTTTCGTCTTGGGATCAAACCTGACGTAACTGATGTCGTCAGGAATGTCCGGGGTTGGACCTTTCAGCAGAGACTCGAGCCGGGCCGTGACGTCAGAGTACACGTTCATGACGTCAAAGTCACTGCCATGCTCCACGACTTTTTGTGAGAAGTCCACTGTGCTGGACAGACAGCCTAAGGTGCTCTCAACACTGTCTGCTGTAGCAGAGAGCTGCTTGGAACGGGCTGCTGTGACGGCCGCTAACTTTTCTTTCAGTTCAGTCTGCTTGCGTCTTACAAGGCAAGTGTAGTACTTGATCTCTTCCTCCGCAGCTGCATCGATGTCGTCTGCAGCTTTCTTACTCCTGGTGTCCAGTTCTGCTTGCTTATTAGCTGCGACACTTGCAGCGTCTCGGAATTCCTCAATTGTCGACCTGGCAGCTTCCAGGTTGCCTTTGATCTTTGCCCTGACGTCACTCACAACGTCTGCCAGTAAGCCGTACTTGTGGTCTTTGTGCTGCAGTACCGTGCAGTCTCGGCAGATGGGACTCTGGCACGTCTCACAGTAGAACTTCAGCTTCTCGTCTTCATGTTTTGGACACATCGGCAGTGATGTCGACCTGCCTGATGACGTCTTGGTGATCAGTTGCTCTTTTAATTCCGCCACGCCGATGACTTCATGGTCACGTGTACGTTTGGCACGACGGTGGACCCGAGCACATTCGTCACACAAAAACTCTTCACACACAACACAGCCGAAATTAGCCACATGTTCTTCGCAGTTACAAGGCACTTTGTCATCCTCCTTGCTAACCAAACTCTTGTGAGCGTCGACGGTGTCCCTCAAGCTCAGAACAAAGAAGTTGTTTTTGAGCCCGGCGACACCGCCCTCCGGAAGTACAGTTTCGATCCGACATGTTGGACACGGAAATCTGTCCTTCGCCTCACCTTGTTTCGCTACAAACTTCTCCAGACAGTCCTTACAGAAGGTGTGAAGACACGGCAGGATCTTTGGGTCCTTGTAGGGCTCCAGGCAGATCGTACACTCCAGAAAGTCGCCGGAAATCTGTCTGAGTACGGCCTCCGCCATGACACCTGCACGCTTCAGGTGAGCCGGCGTTACAGGTGAACTTTGAACTTCTGTTCAGGACAGGGTCACTGTTTATAAAAGCATCAGGTTTCAGCGGAGACCCGACTAGGTAAATAAAACTACTGACATCATCTTTCCCTCAAATAAAAAGAGGGCTTCCGTGCATATTTTCGACGAATATACATAACCATGTAGTGGATTCTGTTTTGATGTACAATAGATAGGTTGCTTTATCTTTATTGTAGCTGTACACGTATTCGTAAAAGTTACATAATCAGGACTTAACATATACATATGGCAAATAGACATGTACAAGCGCAATACATTGGGCGTTACAGGATTTGTAACTCCGCAAAAAGTCACCCAGTGAAATGTAAAGCTTGATAATATACCCTTGGGCATAGCACAGCGGGCTCATTTCACATACGGTGGGGTTGGGGATGCCAAGCTAACAGTTCTCTTGATAAAATATATATATATATAGTGAAGCCCGTATCGTGGCTATATGCTGTCCTGTAGACAACATACTAAGCATTTGAACAGTTGGCCTATACATGTAGTGTGTACAGCACACAGTAGGTACCTGTAAAATGGGTTAGGTGGGCGGGCGGGGGCTATTCCAAGCTGGCACTATGTAATGACAGAGCCTGGCTTTGGGGAAAACGTTTTGTACATTGGGGGTAAAGCTACGCACTAAAGCAGCAGCCACTGTTGTGTCGGTATAAACCCAGTAACTGTAGCCAAGGAAGAAGAAGAGAAGAGAAGAAAAAAACAGATAATGTATGTATAAATAGAGCAGAATGACCAAGCTACAGACAACAAGCATCAACAATGCATGAATTTGTAGCACAGCTATATGATCGGTATATGACAAAAAATATAACTTAATGAAATGATTAGTTTCCTCCAAGGCTTGACGACGATTTAAAACGAAAGATGAACTGAGAAAGAAAATACTTGATTCTGCTGTGGGAGAACAAAGAATGTGCCAAGTTGGTGTTGCCATGGCATTTGACATGTTTTCTCAATAGTCAGGTAGACGACATTGTATCCAACCTAGTGGAAAAACAATATCACAGTGTGCAACCTACCTAGAGCTTGTCTGTGAGTTAATGGTTGGTTTTTATGTTGTGTCCCGGATGTACCACAACGGACCTTCCACTGTGTTGTTTGAAATTAACTGTGTAACGATGTATGCTTTGTACCAAATATGTTGTGATACGTTAAAAACCTGTTATTCTTTTCAACACATCGTGACGGCATTTCTTCTACTGTTAATTAATGTCTGCTGTATTATACCACACAACTGGAGTGAACCGTATCACTTTTGGTCCAACACAAAAAAGTTCTCTCACCTAGTGTTAACGTCACACTTCAAAGAAGCCACGTGACAAGCCTAACTGGGTCAGTCTACTGAGGAAGACCAGAGTGACTGGTCAAAAGCTCTAGGTGAGAGAACTTTTTTTTTGTGTTGGACCAAAAGTTTTTTTAACTTTAAACATGGAGTGAACCTTGCCTGCACGTTGGCTCTATTGTCAATGTAACCTGCTTATTTACACATTATAAGTCCATGTACCTTGATAATAAAAAAGCCATTCCACTTTCATAATTTAGGAGAGAGGATGATCTAAAACTTTGAAAGTGGCTGCTTTTGGCTGCTATTCATTACCAGTCTGAAATTGAAGCCCTGTTACTGCTATGTCTGCCGCTTTCAGCTTTTCGACTGTTAAAAATTTGATTTAACAGATTATCCATCGACGGCATATTTTTTATTTCATCTTTCATTCCAGTTTCACATTTTTAAATGCTTCTTAGTTCCATACACGTAAAAAAAATAAAGCCGCTGCATCATAACAACTTAAGTATAAAGCAACAGAAATAATGTTGGTCTTTCATATTTTAACGTGTCTAAAAAGTAATATTGTATAATTGTATAAATTTATTGTATAATTGGTTACACACCAGCTTCGCAGACACGCAGAGCGGCGGCAGTTAGCTACATTACACCGAACGACTTGTTACACCCAACCTTTGAACATCTAACTCTTAACATTGTTTAAATGGTAATACCGCTACTGTACTTAGTGACAGCGAATATCACTCAGTGATACATGTAGTTCTAGGAAACAATGAGTTTTTGAATACTATTATACTAGGCATATCCATTCTCTTACCAAGTAGACAATATTTGGGTCATTCTGACTTGCACATTCTGCAATGTTAAGTCCTTTCTACTGCCTAAGCTGCTCAAGTGGCTTATAAAAACTTTCTATGGGTAGTTTAGGCTTTGTAATATGTTATCATATAGATTTTCTATCAAGTGCTATCTTACAATGTCTACACCTGTCTGGTGATGACCACATACCCGGGTCCGTCGTTTGCCCCATCCTGACCGCTCGTGTCAGTACCGGAGTTAAACGAACCGCCTCCTCCTCCGCCATTTGAGTCTTGACTCTCTCCCCTGCCTCCCCCTGAGTACCCCCCTCCCCCACCTCCTCCACCACCAGACCCACGACCCCCTCCCCCTCCACCAAACCCACCATCAGCATTATTACATGCCCCACGCCCTCCAACCCCACCATTCGCAAACGCCTTCCCACCTTCCCCACCATGCTGACAACTGTTGCCTCCAAACTGTTTAGAACTCCCTCCATCCGTCAGCAGCCCTCCCCCTCCCCCACCCATCCATTCACCCTTCCATTCTGTCGCCCCCTGTCCGTTAGATCCTCCACTACAACCAGTTCCTCCACAACTCTTGTTACCAGTAGTGGACACAGTCCCGTCACACAGGGGGTTATGGGTCTGTAGTCCATACCCTGCCCCTCCCCCACCCCCTGCGATAATGAGTGGCGTGTTGTCTCCCCTGGTGACAAATGTACCGCCCCCTCCTCCTACATCCCAGCTCCTCTTGTTCTCAGCACCTTCTTGTCCCACCAGGATCTTCAGAGTTTCCCCTGCAGTATTGAGAAAGGAACATCAGATTTTGTATCCATTACTTAATGAACTTATCATATACTTATCCATCTTTTTGGATTAACATGGAAAAGAATAACAATTTTCCTATATACTTATTTTTTCTTTTACAATTTTAGTTACTTACTAGTACAATGGAATCAGATAACTATTCCAAATATTTCTTTCTGTGTACTCTCTATAATGCCAATGTTGTAACACTGTTCTAATGTTGGGTGTCACCTAGATGGTTATATACGTGTTAACCGCTGCACAGTTTCAAGTTAAGACTAAACCAGCACATCTCCTTCAGTTGAATTGTCGCACCTTGTTTGAGGTTAAATGTTCTCCTCAGTACGGCACCCCGTCCTCGGGCGGACTTCGGGTTTCCCACACCCCACCCTGCAGCAGCACCTGTCAATCAAACACGTCAGGCACTTTCAGAACACAAATCTAAAGAGACACGGACTATTGAATGACTACTGTACGAAAGAGAAAACAATTCAAGCATAAAGTTATTATAAGCTGGGCTTCAACGAATCAAATATGTATTTCTGTATGACTAATTAAGTAAACCAAACTTTACATTAGTTACATTTACTATTAAATAAAAGTCCCTACCCGCTGCCTCTATGCTGTACGTTCCCGTCCGCGGTACAGTGAAGTGTTGTATCCCGTCATGTAGCGTCACCAGGTGTTCATGGTCCTGTCCCCTGTAGTGGGTACCCAGGGTAGTGGGGCCCAGACGGCCGCTGGCGCCCAGGGTGGTCAACTTGGCAGTTCGGAAGTAAGAGTCTAAGAGGGAAACAAAAACGGTACAGTGTTCATCAGATATTCGAGAACCTTGGTTCAGGCTAAACAACATAGGAAAATTTCAAGTCAGTATCTCTAAGAACGGATACCAGTTACCATGTTCTTCTTTTCATTCCGTGAGTGGATGCCATCTATTCAACTTTTTCAAGTAACTACATGTATTTGATGTAGGTTTATATGGAGAGGTTTTTGTCAAAATGTCTGCCTGGGCATGGGTGCCTTCAAAATCGAAATTTGTATTTTTACTCTTTAAAAAATAATGCTGAACAACGTACCGACAATGTCGCCAAGGATCATTTCCCTTTCCTCCCTTTCCGTCCTAGGATCAAACCTGACGTAACTGATGTCGTCAGGAATGTCCGGGGTTGGACCTTTCAGCAGAGACTCCAGCCGGGCCGTTACGTCAGAGTGCACGTTCATGACGTCAAAGTCACTGCCATGCTCCACGACTTTCTGTGAGAAGTCCACTGTGCTGGACAGACAGCCTAAGGTGCTCTCAACACTGTCTGCTGTAGCAGAGAGCTGCTTGGAACGGGCTGCTGTGACGGCCGCTAACTTTTCTTTCAGTTCAGTCTGCTTGCGTCTGACAAGGCCAGTGTAGTACTTGATCTCTTCCTCCGCAGCTGCATCGATGTCGTCTGCAGCTTTCTTGCTCCTGGTGTCCAGTTCTGCTTGCTTATTAGCTACGATCCCTGCAGCGTCTCGGTATTCCTGAATTTTTGGCCTGGTAGCTTCCAGTTTGCCTTTGATCTTTGCCCTAACGTCACTCACAATGTCTGTCAGGTAGCCGTACTTGTGGTCTTTGTGCTGCAGTACCGTGCAGTCTCGGCAGATGGGACTCTGGCACGTCTCACAGTAGAACTTAAGCTTCTCGTCTTCATGTTTTGGACACATAGGCAGAGATCTTGAGTTTACTGAGGGTGTTTTTGTGATCAGCTGCTCTTTTAACTCTGCCACGCCGATGACTTCATGACCACGCGTACGCTTGGCACGACGGTGGACTCGAGCACATTCGTCACACAAGAACTCTTCACAGACGACACATCCGAAATTAGCCACATGTTCTTCGCAGTTACAAGGCAATTTGTCATCCTCCTTGCTAACCAAACTCTTGTGAGCGTCGACGGTGTCTCTCAAGCTCAGGACAAAGAAGTTGTTTTTGAGCCCGGCGACACCGCCCTCCGGAAGTACAGTTTCGATCCGACATGTTGGACACGGAAACTTGTCCTTCGCCTCACCTTGTTTCGCTACAAACTTCCCCAGACAGTCCTTACAGAAGGTGTGAAGACACGGCAGGATCTTGGGGTCCTTATAGGGCTCCAGGCAGATCGTACACTCCAGAAAGTCGCCCGAAATCTGGCTGAGTACGGCCTCCGCCATGACTACGTGCACCTGTACGCTTCAGGTGAGATACCGTTACAGATGAACTTTGAACTTCTGTTCAACACAGGGTCACTGTTTATAAAAGCATCAGGTTTCAGCGGAGACCCAACTAGGTAAATAAAACTACTGACATCATCTTTCCCTCGAATAAAAAGAGGGCTTCCGTGCATATTTTCGACGAATATACATAATTATGTAGTGGATTCTGTTTTGATGTACAACAGATAGGTTGCTTTATCTTTATTGTAGCTGTACACGTATTCGTAAAAGTTACATAAACAGGACTTAACATATGCATATGGCAAATAGACATGTACAAGCGCAATACATTGGGCGTTACAGGATTTGTAACTCCGCAAAAAGTCACCCAGTGAAATATAAAGCTTGATAATATATCCTTGGGCATAGCACAGCGGGCTCATTTCACATACGGTGGGGTTGGGGATGCCAAACTAACAGTTCTCTTGATAAATATATATAGTGAAGCCCGTGTCGTGGCTATTCGCTGTCCTGTAGACAACATACTAAGCATTTGAACAGTTGGCCTATACATGTAGTATGTACAGCACACAGTAGATACCTGTATACTGGGTTAGGTGGGTGGGCGGGGGCTATTCCAAGCTGGCACTATGTAATGACAGAGCCTAGCTTTGGGGAAAACGTTTTGTACATTGGGGGTAAAGCTACGCACTAAAGCAGCAGCCACTGTTGTGTCGGTATAAACCCAGTAACTGTAGCCAAGGAAGAAGAAGAGAAGAGAAAAAAAAACAGATAATGTATGTATAAATAGAGCAGAATGACCAAGCTACAGACAACAAGCATCAACAATGCATGAATTTGTAGCACAGCTATATGATCGGTATATGACAAAAAATATAACTTAATGAAATGATTAGTTTCCTCCAAGGCTTGACGACGATTTAAAAAGAAAGATGAACTGAAGAAAGAAAATACTTGATTCTGCTGTGGGAGAACAAAGAATGTGCCAAGTTGGTGTTGCCATGGCATTTGACATGTTTTCTCGATAGTCAGGTAGACGACATTGTATCCAACCTAGTGGAAAAACAATATCACAGTGTGCAACCTACCTAGAGCTTGTCTGTGAGTTACATGGTTGGTTTTTATGTTGTGTCCAGGATGTACCACAACGGACCTTCAACTGTGTTGTTTGAAATTAACTGTGTAACGATGTATGCTTTGTACCAAATATGTTGTGATACGTTAAAAACCTGTTATTCTTTTCAACACGTCGTGACAGCGTTTCTTCTACTGTTAATTAATGTCTGCTGTATTATACCACACAACTGGAGTGAACCGTATCATGAAAGTTCATCTGTGTGTTGGTAGTTACATGTTTCTAGTTACATGTTTCAAGTTAACACTTTTGGTCCAACACAAAAAAGTTATCTCACCCAGTGTTGACGTCACACTTCAAAGAAGCCACGTGACAAGCCTCACTTGGTCAGTCTACAGAGGAAGACTAGAATGACTGCCAAAAACTCTAGGTGAGAGAACTTTTTTTGTGTTGGACCAAAAGTTTTAACTTTAAACATGGAGTGAAGCTTGCCTGCACGTTGGCTCTATTGTCAGTGTAACCTGCTCATTACACATTACAAGTCAATGTACCTTGATGATAAAGCCATTCCACTTTGAAATCTTAGCATAGAGGATTAACTAAAACTTAAAAGTTAAGCCGCTAGACAACGAATACAAGACATCCATCCTTTAATCATGTATTTGCTGAATTCCATTAGTTGACAATGAAGAATTCCGGTGAGTTAGTAGATATGCCGATTTGCCTGATGTTTGAATTGAAGGCTAGGAAAAGAATACAAACTTTCATCCTGAAGTATATATTTGCTTTGTTGCAATAGCCAACAGAGTAAAACAAGCAAGGGCAGTCTGCTTAGATCCGACAGTCCGAAACAACTTCTTCAAAGTAGAAACTGTTGTTTCTCTGCTGTTACCTCTGATTGTTAATGTTATATGGGGCATATCCATTCTCTTACCCCTTCAAAGTAGATCATACTCGGGTGTGGCTTTCTAACTTGCATATTGTACAGCTAAGTTCTCATTCTGGTACAGTAAGCGAGAATATCACAGGCTTAAAACATGCAAAGTCCTTACTCAGTAACTATGTCTGTCTGAGCTCCTAAAGAAGCCTATCAACATTTCTGCTCTATGGATAGTCTGCATTTGTTATATGATAGCATGTTAATCTACAGTCTTAAGATGGTGACTCCAAATGTTACTTTTCAGTATCTACACCTGTCTGGTGATGACCACATACCCGGGTCCGTCGTTTGCCCCATCCTGACCGCTCGTGTCAGTACCGGAGTTAAACGAACCGCCTCCTCCTCCGCCATTTGGGTTACGACCCTCTCCCCTGCCTCCCCCTGAGTACCCCCCTCCCCCACCTCCTCCACCACCGGCCCCATAACCTCCTCCCCCTCCACCAAACCCACCATCAGCATTATAACATTGCCCACGCCCTCCAACCCCGCCATTCACAAACGCCTTCCCTCCTTCCCCACCATGATGATAACTGTCGCCTCCAAACTGTTTAGAACTCCCTCCATCCGTCAGCAGCCCTCCCCCTCCCCCACCCATGTAGTCTTCCTTCCATTCTGTCGCCCCCTGTCCGTTAGATCCTCCACTACAACTAGGTTTTCCACAACTCTTGTTACCAGTAGTGGACACAGTCCCGTCACACAGGGGGTTATGAGTCTGTAGTTGCCACCCTGCCCCTCCCCCACCCCCAGCGATAATGAGTGGCGTGTTGTCTCCCCTGGTGACAAACGTACCGCCCCCTCCTCCTACACCCCAGTTCGACCTGTTCGCAGCACCTTCTTGTCCCACCACAATCTTCAGAGTTTCACCTGCAGTATTGAGAAAGGAACATCAGATTTTGTATCCATATACTAGTACTCATCTCACCTTCTTGGATAACATGGTGAAGAATAATGATCCTTACTAGTCAATTAGTCAATTCTTCTTTTACTTTGTTAGTTACTAGTAGAATGGAAGCAGGTACCTAATCAAAACATTTCTTTCTGACAGTGTGTACTCTATAATATCAATGTTGTAACACTGATCTCAAGTAGGCTTGTCACCTAGAGGGTAAGATAAGTGTTTATTGCTGCATAGTTTCAAATTAACAGACAATCAGTCCAGAAGTTCAAGTTACAGAGACTAAACCAGTACATGTCCAACAATTGAATTGTCGCACCTTGTTCGAGGTTAAATGTTCCCCTCAGTACGGCACCTCGGGCGGACTTCGGGTTCTTCACACCCCACCCTGCAGCAGCACCTGTCAATCAAACATATCAGGCACTTTCAGAACACAAATCTAAAGAGACACGGACTATTGTAGTCTCCACCAGACTTCTTTGCGGGGTGAATAAATCGTAGAAATCGGCCTAAAAAGGGTATTAATTGGCCAGAGAAGGTAGCCGGCCAATTAATACCCTTTTTACCCGCCAAGGCGGGGAGTTGGAGCTTTTCTGGCCGGCTACCTTCTCTGGCCAATTAGTACTATTGAATGACTACTGCTCGAAAAAGAAAACAATTCAAGCATAAAGTTATTATAAGCTGGGCTTCGACGAATCAAATATGTACTTCTGCATGGCTAATCAATTAAGTAAACCAAACTTTACATTAGTTACATTAATACTATTAACTAACGTCCCTACCCGCTGCCTCTATGCTGTACGTTCCCGTCCCCGGTACAGTGAAGTGTTGTATCCCGTCATGTAGCGTCACCAGGTGTTCATGGTCCTGTCCCCTGTAGTGGGTACCCAGGGTAGTGGGGCCCAGACGGCCGCTGGCGCCCAGGGTGGTCAACTTGGCAGTTCGGAAGTAAGAGTCTAAGAGGGAAACAAAAACGGTACAGTGTTCATCAGATATTCAAGAAACATGGTTCAGGCTAAACAACATAGGAAAATTTCAAGTCAGTATCTCAAATAACGGATACCAGTTACCATGTTCTTTTCATTCCGGGAGTGGATGCCATCTATTCAAGTAACTAGTTGTATTTGATCTTTGATGTAGATTTACGTGGAGAGGTTTTTGTCCAAATGTCTGCCTGGGCATGGGTGCCTTCAAAATCGAAATTTGTATTTTTACTCTTTAAAAAATAATGCTGTACAACGTACCGACAATGTCGCCAAGGATCATTTCCCTTTCCTCTTTTTCCTTTCTAGGCTCAAACCTGACGTAACTGATGTCGTCAGGAATGTCCGGGGTTGGACCTTTCAGCAGAGACTCGAGCCGGGCCGTGACGTCAGAGTACACGTTCATGACGTCAAAGTCACTGCCATGCTCCACGACTTTCTGTGAGAAGTCCACTGTGCTAGACAGACAGCCTAAGGTGCTCTCAACACTGTCTGCTGTAGCAGAGAGCTGCTTGGAACGGGCTGCTGTGACGGCCGCTAACTTTTCTTTCAGTTCAGTCTGTTTGCGTCTGACAAGGCCAGTGTAGTACTTGATTTCTTCCTCCGCAGCTGCATCGATGTCGTCTGCAGTTTTCTTACTCTTTGTGTCCAGTTCAGCCTGCTTCTCATCTACAAGCCCTGCAGCGTCTCGGTATTCCTGAATTTTCGGCCTGGCAGCTTCCAGTTTCTCTCTGATCTTTGCCCTGACGTCACTCTCAACGTCTGTCAGGTAGCCGTACTTGTGGTCTTTGTGCTGCACTACCGTGCAGTCCCGGCAGATGGGACTCTGGCACGTCTCACAGTAGAACTTCAGCTTCTCGTCTTCATGTTTTGGACACATTGGCAGTGATGTAGACTTGACTGAAGACATCTTGGTGATCTTCTGCTCTTTTAACTCTGCCACACCGATGATTTCATGATCACGGTTTCGTTTGAATCGACTGTGGGCACGAGTACATTCGTCACACAAGAACTCTTCACACACTACACAGCCACAAGTAGCCACTTCTTCTTCACAGACATCACAAGACACTTTGTTATCCTCCTTGCTAACCAAACTCTTGTGAGCGTCGACGGTGTCCCTCAAGCTCAGGACAAAGAAGTTGTTTTTGAGCCCGGCGACACCGCCCTCCGGAAGTACAGTTTCGATCCGACATGTTGGACACGGAAACCTGTCCTTCGCTTCACCTTGTTTCGCTACAAACTTATCCAGACAGTCCTTACAGAAGGTGTGAAGACACGGCAGGATCTTGGGGTCCTTGTAGGGCTCCAGGCAGATCGTACACTCCAGAAAGTCGCCCGAAATCTGGCTGAGTACGGCCTCCGCCATGACCACACCTGTACGCTTCACGTGCCTTCTGTGAGGAGGTGGACTTTGCTCACTTGCCCGGGGTGAAGATAGGTCACTAATAACAAGTAAACGTGGACATAAACCTCTAATGTTAAGTTACATGTACTTAATATAATGTGTGACATTCACGAATGATTTTAGTTTATATTTATCATGGGCATTCCTTTTCAATCAAACTTTTTATATTTTGTTGTAATAAATTGAATGTCGTCGTTATTAAAAGTCAGTACGATAATCATACGAACGGTTTTGACGAACAAGAAGTCTTCAATTTTAAACGGAGAAAGTGTGAGGGCGGGTCATTGACCTTTATGCACGTACACCTGTAATGGTCACGGGACTAAACTAGTTTATTTATCGATGTACAGTACAAAGGTAAATTTGAGCTGGCCGTTCTACCTTTGCGTTGTCGCTTGAATATATGGTAAGGATTGCTATTTTGTGAGCGCTATTTCTTGCATGTTACCGGGAAAATTGTGATCCTTGGTTACGTGTACACTGTACCTTATACTACATTACGTAACTGAGAGGGGGTTTCAGTACATCTTTTCGATCCCTCAAAGGTTTACATGTCAAATGTTTACATGCCTTTCAATTATAATGGCCATAATAACAGCTATAGTGGATCAAACTATACTTCGTTCGACTTGGTTTTCTGTATTCTAAGGAGTGAAATTTCTACCAGTAGCAATACACTAACCTCTACCAGGCTTTAGAAATGGCTGGAAAGAGTAGAAATTGGCCCAAACAGACAGGAGTTGGTCCGCTTAACTCTATTCCTTTGCTGGCGGTCCAAATCCCTGGCATATTATTCGCCTACTAGGCAAATTTCTACTCTTTCCAGCCGTCTCTGAAGCCTGGTAGAGGCTAGTCACCCCCATTGATAATGAATGAATGAATGAAGATCTTTATTGCCTTGCTTTGTTTAACACTCTTCTCAGAGAACATGGCGTGGCTACAGGTGTTTTTCGTGGGCGTGGCGCTGACCTTTGCCCTCTGTGACGTCAGTCTTGATGGAGGCCTGGAGGCACGTGAAAACCGTACCCATATGGAACGCGGCACGCCATTGGACAAAACAGACGTGACGAAGCAGCCTAAAACCCAGTACAAGCACAGCCCCGAAAGAGATGGACTCAGTACTAGAGATGATGAAAGACTTGTAAAAAATAATTGGGAAATCAACGTAACCATGTTTGATGGCGATTGCCCCAAGGGCTGTTCCTGTAGTTTTTCCACCGTTACGTGCTTTGGCGTGCTGGACTCCATCCCAAAGTTCCCACCAGACACCACCCGTCTGGTTCTGTACTACAACAACTTCACACGCGTCCCGCCCAACGCCTTTCCCGGTCTCGACAAGCTTCAGTATCTGATGATGCCTTTCGGCAAGGTGGACTTCATTGAAAGTGGCGCCTTTAGCGGTTTGGGCTCCGTGACTTTACTCAACTTGAGCACGAACGCGATTCACTCTCTCATCAGCACTGCATTTACAGGACTGGACAACCTAGAGGCACTCGACCTGGTCTCTAACAAAATCGACTCTTTTGGTGACGGAGCCTTCGGGCCGCTGAAAAAACTCAAATTCCTACAGATCACACCAGTGACTTCCCAATATCCGTACAGCGCCTTTAACAGTTTGGTCAACCTCGAGACCTTACATGTCCAGGACGGTCGGTTTTCCGCCGTTCCCGGCTACGCGTTTTCGAGCATGAAGAAGTTAACAACTCTCATCATAGCAGACAACCCGAACCTGGCTACCATCCACCCAGAAGCATTTGCGCCCGGCACGCTGAATGACTCACTGACAAGCATAGACCTTGATCATTGCAACCTTCGCGAGATCCCGTCACAAGCGTTCCGCTATGTCCAGTCTCTTCGCTCGCTCTCTGTGTCTAATAACCCTATAGGCCAGGTCGACGACAACGCGTTTGCGAACCTCCCAAACTTACAGTTTCTCAACTTACAGGGACTCGGGTTGGCAGTTCTGTCTAAAGATGCCTTCAATGGTCTCGACAGCATCCAGAGTATCTACATGGACAGCAACAACCTGGTCAGCCTCACACCGGACCATTTCAGCGGCCACGTCAAGACGCTGAAGACCGTGACTTTGTCCGACAACCCGTGGCATTGCGACTGTGACTTGTGGCGCTTCAACAGATGGCTGCACACCGAGACTAACATCACCGTGTACCAGTCGCTGGTGTGCGCGAGTCCGGAACAGCTCAGAGGCCAACAACTCGACAAGATTACTGCAACTCAGGCAGGCTGTCACTAGGGTCCAGGCAAACTTGAATTCAATCCGTTTTTAATTGGAGTATAGCAAAATCAAAAAGGAGGAAAGCTAGCCAAGAGAAACAAGAGTTTTCGTTAACTATCTTTTTCTTTAACTAACTTTTCGACGTTACTAAGACATAGACAAGTTAAGAGGATAGAAAAAGGATGTGTCAAGCTACCCACGACAGGTTACTGTCCGAGTGCTCCCACCAACCCACTCCTGCCAACCTAACCGTGACTGAAGACTAACTTTCCCGACTTAACTCAATAAAGCAAAGCAATACTTGACTGTGGCCTTTGTCATCTTAGGACCTACCGACATACGAAATATCATCACTATCCATATATATATATATATATATATATATATATATATATATATATATTATACTGACCACAAATTTATAGAAACACACACACAGAACAAAAACAATACCTCTATTTTACATGGATAATAGATGAGATTTCTTTCACTCTAACCAGAGAAATCTCTGGTGTAAACCAGTCCTCTGCACGCGAAAACAGATGATGATTAATGCGCCCCTTAAGATATTCTTTGAGAGGTGACAGCGACCATTGTCTGTCCATCTGGGGTTTCAGACCAATCCTTTGTCTCTGGCTGCATCTGCTTGAGGGTAAGAATGCAGATAATTGGCCCCTCCACATTATCTTTGTCTTTTCAGATTGCTGTTAAGGGGCCTCTCCTTGGGGGTGTCACGAGTTTTCCATTAAGTGAACATTTGAACAAGTGAACAACTTAAAGATGTTTTCAGATATTTGGCCTATGCATTTTAATGTGTTTGAAAGTCTTCAAGGAACGTGTTAACAGACCGGACTCTAAACTTCAACTCTAAATACTGTAAGAGACTCTTACTCTCCGAGCAGAGGTTTGGGTTTTGGGGGTATTTTTAGCGTGTGTTGGGTTTGGTGGGGAAAAAAATTCAGCGCAAAAGAGAAACCCCGATAAAAAAAAGCCTAAAAACACGCTAAAAATACCCCCAAAACCCAAACCTCTGCTTGGAGAGTAAGAGACTCTTACAGAAACAGAAATGACCAGAAAGATCGGCCGCGGACCTTACACCAATTTCCACTGATTAGTGCCAACCTGTTCTCCCAGTTCATTAAGTAACGCTAAAGATGTCACTCGAAACGTGCGGAAGTAATATCCGTTTTTATCCTGTAGTAGTAGCCTCCTTCGCAGTCTTGTTGGGCGTCGGCGTTATTTTTCTCTGAGCGACGCGAGTAATATGCGGCCGCGAGGGACGATTTGCTGCCGAGGGAGTTTTGCCACAGAGAGAAGGTTTCGCGCTCCGTGGCAAAAATTGGCCATGCAGTATCCAGGTGGGATTAGCGACCAAAAACACCGGCCATCTATAAAAAGCTAACGATCATTCCCCCACATCCTCTGCTTGGAGAGTACCCACTAGCCTGGTATCCGGTCCTATCGTGGTTTAACATAGGCGGGTTTTCCTCGGGGCTACAGGAGCTCTTCCCCGCCCGCCTCGGCTAGGTTCCCCAGTAGGTATTTCGCGATGAACCACCATTCGTGGTGGGGCAAATCAACTCCCCGGCTAGTCTGGATGCCAGACCTATTGCACACTAGGTACAAGTTATCCTGTGTGCTCACTGGGATCCAATGTGCTATGGTTCTGGAATCAAGGCTACTCCTGGCGTGCCATCTCTATTAGCGTAACACTCCTACCGAGCGGCCTATCGTACTGGGCGGGGGGAAACTATTAGAGCCCAGAATACACTCACGCTAGCCTGCCCCAACTACTATGCCCCAACTACGATTGACTGGATACCATGCTACCTGCCCACTTGGTCTTTACTTTAGATATAGAATACAACAACACGGTTTACTCCGTATCACCCGAGGTACTAGTACCAGCCCGACTGTCGGATCGCCCGGCGACCGCAGGGCCGAGACCCAACCCGCGGGAGGCCTGGGACCGAACTGTCGGGCTCTTGGAACCTAGCGCTCCCAGACCCAAGGGACGACTTCTGTACTGAAACATCATCCTTGTCTCAACTTTGTTTTGTTACTGAAAGCCAAAATTGCTGGTGTTAAAGGGCTCTCCGTCTGTTAAATGAACGAGAAGAGACAGCTGGCTATGCCCCAACTGTCATTATTGTCAACTAAAACCCGCGCACAACTTACTGAGTACTGATAATTATCTGAAATCTACAGATAACTCCGTAATTACAGTGTGCAAACGCGCCTTTGTTTTTTTTTCTTTCACCGTAGCAACTAGAGCAGAGCAAAGTGGTGAAAAGAATAAAGAGGCGAGCCCCTCTTTTTCCCATCAACGCCTTTGGCATTTTCACACAGGGAACAGCGTAATGAAAGGAATGGTAGCAATGAAGAATGTGTGAAAAATGTCCTCTAGCCGTCCCTATACAGTATTTCCCTCCCAAAGCACCGATTGTGTATTCATACGTATTCAAAAAACACATAAATATCTATATCTATATATCTATATCTATCTCTATCTCTCTCTCTCTC